AAAAAAAAAAAAAAGCCAGAAAAAAGTGTTAAATAATATAACTGATGACAATGCACAGAATTGAATATGTGATTGTCAATAAAAAATTTTTATACAGTTTTCATCATCAATTTTGACATTTTGGCATCTTTTTCGTTTTTTTTCTTTTTTCTGTTAATCCAAAATATAACAAAAAAAAAACAAAATTGACTTTATTTTTTTTTTGATTTGCCAAAACTTTCCTTTGGGTATACGCTTTTTTTTTGCTTTAGAAAATGAAGGCAAAGAAGATGAAGGCGATGATTCAAAGTGTGTTGATTGTTTGATGAAAATAATGTATTCAACGAAAAAAAAAAGGAAAGAAAAAAAAAGCTCTTCCCTGTCTCCGCTTTTCATCCTTTTTCAACCAACAAAAAAAAAGACTGTATTTTTTTCGAATATTTATTTATAAATATAACCAAAAAAGAAAAAAAACTTTTCTCTTCTATTTTTTTTCTCTTCAATGCTAAGAGAGCATTATAAAGTTTTTTTGTCCTTCCAACTGCAAATACTGGCCATCCACCAAATGACAAATACTGTTTGCAGTATTTTGGCTCAATGATGAACTATGAAATTTTAATAAAATCAACAAAAAAAAAAAATTTCTTTGGTTTATTTTTTGATTAACCAATAAATCAATGATCTGTTTGCATTGCTTTTTTTTACTGTTAACATTTGTTCAACAGATCAAAACTGTTGGCTATGCTGATAACACTGTCTTAACTCTGCTCAATGTTTCATTAAAATCGTTGTCATTAACAACAATAAAAACAACAACAACAAAAAAAAAACAACATTAAAATTACTAAGCATTCTTTTGTCCATAGTTTTTATAACAATCAAATGATACAGTTAACGACGATTTAGGAAAAAAAAAATCTAATCATTATGCTTAAGCAAAAAAAAAAAATCTCCAGCACCATCTGCATAAATAATGTCAATCATCGGTAACGTCGTCTACAGATGTTCAGTATTCTGCAAAAAAAAAAAAAACAGAAGACACAGATTTGCAGACGCAGTAATATTGTTCAGAAATATTACCTAATTGCTTTGTAGGCAAAGATTTTCATAAACTTGAATAATAGACAGAAAAAATTAATAAATAAAAAGCTACAATATTTAAAATCTTCACCAATATTCCATACCTAACTGATTAAGTACTG